TGATCGACTCTCCTTCATCAACCATTATATTAGCAGAGTCATAGTGCATTCCTCTCCTGAATGTGACTACAGCGCACTTATCGAGACCGAAGCTCATCTGTATGTCGTCGCTAAATTTTTTTACAATATTGATAGACGTTTTCAGTTTGTTTTGGCTGGGAGATATGAGCTTCAGGTCATCCATATATAGCAAATGGGAGAGACAATCATTTGCTCCTTTAAGTTGGTAACCTAGGTTGGCCTCGTTGAGTAGCGTACTTAAAGGAACCATCGCAATCACAAACAGAAGAGGTGACAAGGTATCACCTTGATATATACCTCTTTTTATCTGTATGGGTCCTAACTCTATTTCTTCCCCATTATTACTGACTAACAGGGTAGTACTCCATAGCGGAATCAATCGCTTACACAGATCAATGATCTTCTCAGATGTTCCTATAAGCTTCAGAGATTTCAGGAGCCAGCTGTGCGGGACGCTGTCGAATGCCTTTCTATAGTCAATCCATCCAATGTTAAGATTTTTTTTGTTCTCTTTACAATCTTCTACAATGGCTTTCGAGAGGAGTAGCTGATCCTTGCAACCAAGAGAGCCCTTGCCACAGCCTTTTTGTTCTGTTGGTATTATCTTATTATCATTTACATAATCAGATATTCTGCTGGCTACTACCTTAGTTAACAATTTGTACAACGTGTTCAGACAGGTGATAGGCCTATAATTCTTGGGGTCCTTACTATCTCCAGACTTTGGAAGGAGGTATGTTTTACCCTTTGGTAGCCAGTTCGGGATATCTGTTCCGTTATCGAGGTAACTATTATATATCATTGTTATTGTTTCGTGTGTGACACTAGATGTTTCAGCCAGAAATTAGGTATCTGGTCTATACCAGGGGCTTTCCAATTTTGGGCCTGCTGTAGTGCTGATCTGACTTCCACGACACTGATATTTTGCCAGCTCATTGTTGTGGCTCTATCCCTTTCTACCTTTTTCAGCCACTTTGCGTTCTCGTTGTGGTTAACACTTTTTTATTATAATTATTATTATTATTATTAATTATTATTATTATAATATTATTATTATTATTATCATTATTATTATAATTATTATTATTATTATTATTATTATTATTATTATAGTTCTTGTAATTATTATTATTATAATTAATAGTTTAGTTTAGTTTATTGACTACATTACATACATTATTGTACATTTGAAGTCACAGATTTTTGCCTTATACATGTAAATATAGATACAAACTTAATATAATCATCGACACTGTAAAAACACTTAAGATAATGATATGATGGTATTATTATTATGATTATTATTATTATTATTATATATAATTATTATTATTATATATTATCATTTATTATATAATTATTATTATCATTATTATTATAATTAATTATTAATAATTAATAGTTTAGTTTAGTTTATTGACTACATTACATACATATTGTACATTTGAAGTCACAGATTTTTGCCTTATAAATATAGATACAAACTTAATATAATCATCGACACTGTAAAAACACTTGTCTATGAGAAAGTTCTTCACTAGTCTACTGAATTTGTAGACATTCATATTTTTCACGTCATCTTCTGCGTAACAGTTCACAAATAAATTGTACAATGTGACATCCGGTTTGTTCAACTTGGATAAACGTACTCTAGAAAAAGGAACTATTGTAATTATTATTATTATTATTATTATTATTATTATTATTATTATTTATTATAATTATTATTTTTTTTTTGTAAATATTAGCTGCTTAACCTAAAACTCGATTTGAAAATGATTTATTGTTGTTTTCTTGAGTAGTGATTTCATTAAACCAGTATTTTCCTAGGTAAAATTACTACGATTTCAATCCTAAGGTATACTATTATGCCCCAACGATGGTTTTTAGTTATAAAAGATATCTCATCTCATTTTTGCTTTTCAGTATCTGGAACTGATAGTGAAGGTGAGGTCAACTGCCTGTTCGGTGATCACTCAAGTGATGAATACCAACCTGATTATGAAGATATGAGCGATTCTGACCGAGAACCTGTTTCATAACTTCAACCCAACAATTTTTTTGTGCCGCGACGAGGATGAAAACATATGTGAGAATAGAGTAACAACTCATGCCAACACCTTAAGCCAAGAACAGCAGCTGTTAGACCGAACATCTAAAAAAAGAAATACTTCGCGCCTAAGCTAAAAATTTCAAGAAAACGGATACGACATCCTGAAGAGTGGGTTAGACGTAAGGCATCAATTGCTAGATAAAAAGCAGAGGCATTTATTAATTACAAAGGACAAGCTGTACAAGCAAAGTCATTCTCAACTGGGGATTTGTGTCCACAAAAATGCAAATTAAAGTGTAGTGAAAAGTTTACTCTTGTTCACCGAGAGGCTATTTTTTCTCAATATTACAAGCTGGACGTTAATGCAAAGAATGCATTATTGTTTGGTTCTATCAGGATATATCCTGTAAAACGTAGGAGAAAGGATGCCACGAAACATAAATCAGCATCATATAAATATATTATAACATTTGAAGGACAACAGACCTTTGTTTGCAAGAACGCATTTGCTAATTTATTCTGCATAGGCAAGAAAAAATTGATTTACATCAAAAGTCTATAAAATCGGGCTTATCTGCACCCTATCCAGATAAAAGAGGTCAGCATAACAACAGACCTCATAAGATTGACGATCGTGTCAGAGAGTATATAAAGCAGCATATCGCAGCAGTTCCAGCAGAGGAGTCACACTACTCGCGGACTAAAATTACAAAAAATACCTCTCTCCTTCGTTATCTATAAAAAAAATGCACCAACTGTACATAGAAAAATGTGTACTTGATAACGTTGCTCACACATTTCATGTCAAAGACTGTACATACCGAAATGTGTTTGTTTCAGATTTTAATCTGTCATTTGGCTACCCTAAAAGCGACACCTGCAGTATTGCGATGCTGGTGAATCGAATGAAGAACATGTTGCAAATTATCATGAAGCATATGATGCCCTGAAAACTAATAGAGAGAAAGTCAAAGGTTCATATAATTTGGCTTATATGACAATGGACTTGCAGCAGACCATGCCACTGCCTCTGCTAAGCACATCTAAAGCCTTCTATTTGAGGCAATTGTGGATGTACAATTTTGGCACCCATATTTCAACTAAAGAGGTGGAAAAAGCTGTATTTTGTTCATGGACTGAAGATCAGGCGTCAAGAGGAAGCTCCGAAGTATTTAGCTGCCTCCTTACAATTTTAGAGCTAGAGGATTCTGTAAAAACAAAGACCATCTTATTATCTGGTCAGACTCATGTGCAGGACAGAACAAATACTTTCTAATAATCTGTCTATATCAGTACTTGATACACAAAGGTCTATTCAAAATAATAGACCATAAATTCCCTGAAGTAGGACATACTTATTTAGATTCAGATAGGGATTTTGGGCGCATCGAGAAAAACTTGCGCAAACACCAAAACATATACTCCCCTGAAGAGTATAGAGAGATCATTGTTAATCCTGTTCAAAAAATAAAGTCATAGACATGACCCAACATTTTCGAGTGACTGATACTGTTGAAGCAGATATGAAGCTGTACAACAGAAAGAGGGATGTTAACAAGAACAAAATACAGTTTCGTAATAGTATCAAGTGGATACGGGTGAAGAGTATGGTTCTTACCTATTTAAAACAACTTATGATGAATACACGCCCTTTCAAAAGGTAAACATTTACAATAAGCTACGTGAAACTCCAAGTCTGGAATCAGCAATCACCATATCGAGATTATTTAGAAAGAGTGAGAGAGCAGCTGAAGTATGTTCCAGACAAACACAAGTGGTGGTACCAGCACATTTTGGATGAATATGTATAATACCAATGCTAAACTCTTGACTATGTATAGTTTTATTATTGCAATATATCCATTTGTGCAATATTGACATGTTTTCCTTTTTTTGATGTGCATAACCACCATCATCCATTAGGGGAAACCCGTCTAAAGTGGATACCCCAGGCAAAGCGAATAGTCCCCACTACTTCCAAAATTTTTCGTTGGCCGGCAGCCGCGCTGTCAAATCAAGAGTCGCCTGTTGCCGCTTAGTTCGCGGAAATCACTTTGGCGCGAATTTGCGTAGCATGCCGCCATTGAGTGGACAAAGTGTGTTTCTGTACCAGAAATATTAATTTACAGAGGTAAGTGTTTCGCTTATATCTATTATGTTTTTGGTGGCATGTTTTTGTTTATGCAGGGGATTCAATGCATGGTTATAGAGCTTTCAACTATGTGTAGTTGATGAACTTAGATAAACTGTTTTTTTTTATGACCTGGCATAACCTCAAAGCTGTACCCGAAGGGCAAAGCGGATCGGGCAAGGCGGATACTGTATTCACTTTGCCCGGTCATGGCGTGTAATATAATTTCATACAATTTTATATTATATCAAGTATTTTTCTGTTACAGATGGTGAATAAATATAAAAAAGACGACGCAAGGTACTTGGAGTAGAGACGTTATGCAGACTGCAATAAATTTATGTAGGGCTGGAGAATCTATTAAAGGGACAGCCAACAAATATGGACTTGCGTATGCTACCCTTTACAGACATGTCAAAAGTGGAAACGCTTCCGCACAGCTCGGTCGATTTCGTCCTACATTCACGGAGGATCAAGAATTGAACTGGTGACATACCTGCAAGATATGGACGCAGTTTTTTTTGGCCTTACTCGGGATGAATTCATGAGTCTAGCATTTGAGTATGCACACCGCAACAATTTGCGTTACCCTGAGAGTTGGAATAAAAATAAAAAAGCTGGAAAAGAATGGCTGCAAAGGTTTTTATCACGTCATACCAACTTGACACTAAGAACTCCAGAATCAACATCTGTAGCGAGGCTGAAAGGATTTAATCGCCGCGAAGTGAGCCATTTTTATGAAATCTTGAATCTGCCATTGAGAAAAATAACATTGAAGCCTCCAGACTATACAATATGGACGAAACCGGAATATCAACGACCTCAAATAGGCCTCCAAAGGTTATCTCCGTAAAAGGGAAAAAACAAGTGGGTATGATTGCAAGTGCAGAACGCGGCCAATTGACAACCGTCATCGGGTGTTGTAATGCTGCTGGCAGTTTTCTTCCACCTTTCCTGATTTTTGCAAGAAAGAAGATGCAAGCAAGGCTTCTTGATGGTAGTCCTCCAGGGACTCAAGCAACGTGTACTCCTAATGGCTGGACATCAGGGGAAGTCTTCTTGAACTGGATCCATTTTTTCGTAGAGCAAGTGAGGCCAACAGCAGATAAAAAGGTTCTACTAATATTGGATAACCATGAAAGCCACAAATATTATCCTGCACTTGAGTATGCCACAAAGAATAACGTGGTAATATTATCCTTAGCACCGCATACTACAAACAAAATGCAACCTATGGATGTTGCTGTGTATGGCCCACTGAAAACGCATTTCGAAAGGGAAGTTAACATTTTCCAAAAATCTCACCCTGGCCGCATCATTAATCAGTACGATGTATCTAGATTGCTAGCACCAGCTTATCTCAAAGCTGCCGTGGCCATCAATGCAGTGCATGGATTTGAAAAACCTGGGATTTGGCCTGTAAACAAGCACGCATTTGGTGATGAGCATTTCACACCAGCCGAGGTACTTGCAGGTACATCCACTTTAACAGTCAAGCTGGAACTTTGGCCCCAATAGAAAGCATTGATTTACCCGAGTCCGCTGTTGAAGCGTTACCTTCGATTGAACCTCAAGATCAGCCCATATCACCTTCATTTGCAAATGCCACTCAACATTCTCATTCATTCATAAACCCTATTGAAGGAGAAACCTTACAGACTATAGAATCTGTTAGTTCTTTACCTATTGCGTCATCAGGTGAAGTTGTTGCTTTAGGTGATTTTCAGTCTCAAGACGAAGTAAATATATATATTGAAGATCGACCGTGCACTCCTATTAGATCTGAAACTAAAAAAGAAAGCTATGGCAATACTGTTCCCGCCGCTTCACCCGAACCTGGATGTTCTAAGACCTACTATAGTCCTTCAGTTTTGAGACCTATTCCTCAGCCTGCTAGACCAACAACAACACGTAAACGGAGGTTACAAAGATCTAGTATACTGACGAGTACTCCAGTAAAAGAAGAGCAGAAACAGAAATTTGAAAAAGGAAAAAAGCCTGCTATGAAGCCACTAGATGATGTTTCGACGAAAACTTCTCTGAAGACTGGTAACAAAAAAACTGTTAAATCTAAAATCACTGATAAAAAAGCAAAGAGGAGTGCAAAAGAAAATGGAAATCAGAAAAAAATACGGAAATTTGATGATGTCAGCTGCATTTTCTGTGGTGAAATGTACATTGAAGAAGATGATCAGCCAACGGAAAACTGGATACAATGTAGTATTTGTACTCAATGGTGCCATGAAGAGTGCTCAGCCTTCGAAGGCAGTGACGATTTTGTTTGCGATAACTGCAAAAATTAGAAACATGTTATTTTAAATATTTTTTCCTGATTTTCAAGGTTTATTTCCTTTGTAAGTTTAATTTCAAGCCAAATAATGTTGCTATTCGCTTTGCCCTGGTATCATATTCACTTTACCCGGAATCCCGGGCAAGGTGGATAGTTAGTCACTCTTGTTAATTCGATTAATAACTTTTAATTTAATTAATATTTAGGAAGAATCTTATACAATTCCGTTAGTCCTTTAAATAAAGACTGCTTATAAATATTTGTTTTAATTTCCCCGGTTATAACTAATCTACAATAACCAAAAACAGCTTAAGGTTATTCACTTTGCCCGGGTTTCCCCTACATACAGTATAAATGCTAAAACTAAAATTAGTGGATGAAGGAGGTATGTACGATTTTAAGTGATTTTAACCCTTTGAGCCCCACTGGTTAGCATCAAAAACCATCTTTCAAAGCTCATTTTGCTATTTTCCTAGCGGTATCCCTGGCTAACCATAGTGTGTAACGTGTTGCCTAATGCATGCTGAACCTGTATTCAGCGGAAACAAACGAAATAAACTTATATTTGGTGCGTATTCCTGCTTCGTATAACGTCAAATGTCCAAGTAGGTTAACAGCTAGTACAGGGTGAAGATTTTATAGATCAATTAGTAGTTTTTTTGGTGAAAAAGTGTATAAAAATGGCTGGTAAGTACAAATAATCTGTGTATATGGCTTATTATGGTCGAATTTTGCACGCATCTGATTTCTGATTCGCAAAATATCACATTATTTATGGTGGTTTTGTGTAGTAACCACTAGGAAAGTACCCAACTTTTGTTTTTTGACAAAAGTTATTTATGTGTAACTTTGTGACAATTTTTAATGTCAACTAATATTTTCTGGTTTCATTTACGTGACCCATTCTTTTCAGCGAAAAAAAAAATGGTCGATCGCTGAATTGGAAAGTATGAGCCTAGCTGATATTTATAAAATTGTAGAGGATGTAGACGAGGTACCTAGTGATAATGAGTCAGTACTAGATGATCTGGACGCTGTTATGAGTGATGAAATACCCATTACTCAAGAAAATGCTGACCTAAATAATGATCTTTTCAATCTTCGGAATATGGATGTCATTTTTGAGGACTTGATCGAAGATGAAAACTGCTCTTTAGACAATGCGCAGTGGGAAAGTGACGATGATATTCCACTAGCTAGAAGAAATGATATATTTCTGCCTTGCTACTGGACCAAAGATACAGTATACATCAACAAACCAAGCAAATTTGAAGAAGAGGCTGGCCCCAATTTGCCTGATATCATTGAAACACCTACGGACGTTTTTTTGCACCTATTTCCTGAAGACCTCATCGACCATATTGTTTTTCAAACAAACTTATATTGTGTACAGAAATTTGGCGATGGAAGAAACTTCGTTCCTACAACGAAGGATGAAATCAAAGTTTTCTTCGCTGTAAACTTGCTGATGGGTGTAAAAAGGCTACCCAGTTATAAAGATTACTGGTCGTCAGATGAAGTGCTCAGAGACTCATTTATTAGTGGCTGTATTTCCAGAGACCGTTTCGCATGGTTACTAAGTAATATTCACCTCAATGATAATTCCGTACAGCCCAAAAAGGATCAGTCATCATATCGCTGCCCTAGTATTACAAAGGTGTATGTAACAAATCTATAAAATTTGAGATTTTGGGATAACATGGTTCTATGTATAATAAGGTATACACAGAACCTTTTAAATCTGAAATCAAGCGAATCTTAAGCTCAGAATCATAGAAAAATCAAAGGTGTATGTTTCAAAAATTCGAAAATTAAGTTACATAGTTCTATGTTATACCCACTTAATTCTCACTTTTGGTTAATTGTTTCGATATTTAAGAATAACAAGGTACCATGTTATAACATACACCCTTGTAGTTCTGAATTATTCTCATTTTGTATTTATAGGTTAGGGTTTTCAGCACAAGTGTTATTTGTGTTGCTGCAGTGTAACGTCGTGTGTATTTTTGTATTTTCTTATTGTTAAAAATGGAAACTAATAGTGAGGGATCCGATACTTTTGATGATTATGACTCTGACAAAGATGCAGAATATAAACCACATAAAAAGGAATCCAGAAAACATATTAGGTAAGTGTGAGGTATAAATCTTATCTACAATTCTATGAAATTTTTGTATTCGAATATTTTTCAGCATTACAATACGGGGCAAGAAAATTTATATACCATGCCAACCAGGAACAGCAGACTCAGACTCAGCTTCTAATAATAAGGGTATTGGCACACGAAAAATATTCACGACGTATGTACAAATTCTTGCTTATTTTATGGTCGTAGTTGAACACGATGTGGCCTTTTAGTAATAAATTTAAAGTGTCACATATATAGTGGCTGCATATGATTTTCAAACGTTTCGTTTCAACAACGGCTCAAATGATTGATGTCGAGTTCCTGCACTTGAATTGCGCTGTGGTATTTGATGTTTGATTAAGTTCACTGCAGTGTACCAGTAGGACATGCCACAGCCATTGTTTGATAGCCTAACCCCCTAACCACATGTGGTACTTTAAATTTATTACTAAAGAGCCACACCGTGTGGTATTTTAACATGGGCCTAATTTTATAGTGTCGTAGTCTTTAAAGTGTAAGCTCTTTGTGCTGTTGTAGTGTCTCGACTATAAACCATGCCATTTAAAAATGGATTATCTTTTTTTGTTTTAGAAAAGTTGGAAACACATCTGAAAAAGAGAACAAGAGCACATTTGGAGAAGAACAGAATAAACATACCATGAAAAGCTCTATGAAACAACCCGTGGAACATTCTCTAGGACTTCTCGCAGAACATCCCGTGGAACACACTATGGTATGTTTCCTGGAACACTGCCTAGAACATCCCGACGAATATCCCAAGGAAGCATCCGTGGAGCCTTCCGTAGAGCGCCCCATGGGTCGCCATGTCGAAAGCCCTGTAGAACACCCCATTGAGTCTGAGGATTTAGTAGAGCACCAAACCGAAAAGAAGGTTTCACGTAAAAGAACTAGGGACCCAAAATCCTGGGCACACAATATTCGAAAGGAAAAATATGATAGAGGAATGGAGTACGTGTCATCAAGAAAAAAACTTCGTCCAGCTAGAAAAATTGTAACAAAAAAAGATTGTTTAAATAGATGCCACTTTAAATGTGCTACAAAACTAACTGAAGATGATAGGAAAGATATTTTTTCAAACTATTATAAGTTAGACGCAAACGAGAAGAGAATGTTTATCCTAAATACGACTATAAAGTGTAAGGTTGAAAGAAGGAGAAAGGGAAAAAACTCTGATAACTCACGAAAAATGAATAGTTATGGATATTTTTTCATATTAAATAACAACAGACTACAGGTCTGTAAAGACTTTTATTGTGGAACACTGGCTATAAGCCAAAAACCTATTGTTAGAATCAAAATAATGAAATTACGGACGTTAATTTTTGACAGACAAATTTAGTAAATACAACCCCGACCGCCCACGGTCGGCACGCCGGTGGTCGATCGAGGCCAGTCTGTGCGTACCGCTCGAATAGTAAGGAGCCTGTCGTGGTCTGTGTTTTGCTAGTTGTCTTATCTTATCACCAAAATTCTATCATCGGAAGTGGAATTGAATCTGCGTCCACGCTGTAAGTCCTATTGCAATGTTTATGTATATTGAATGCAGCAGGATATCTGTTATTGTGGCAGTTATTTTTTCTATGCCATTGTTTTGTTTTTTGCTGTTATTATTTTTGTTACTCGCCGTATTGGTTGTACATACATACCAGATATAATCAGAGACGAACTGATTACACATTTCATAGCGTCTGTCGGTTCGGTGATGTAAATAAAGCATATATGGAATTGTTTTGGGCACGTCTTGCTGTGAGAATCTTGTTTTTTTTTTTAACTGTTGACATTAGTAATGCATGGTTGATTAAGGATTATTGATATAAAATACATTTAAGTAAAAAAAAAAAAAAAAAAAAAAATAGAACAACAATACCATTGCATGAGATTGTTTTAACCACACTTGAATCACAATTCATTTATAATTGGCAATTAAAAGGAAGCAGCAGTGGAGTATATTGTAGGTACAATAATTGAATCGGAAGATTATGTTATTCATTTAGATTTTCTACACGTGCAACAAGCGCATATCCATATTGAATGGATTTCCAGAAATATTTTCTTTTAACACGATTTGCTATACAAGCTAGGTCTCTTTGCTGTTATATGATTTTATCAGTCGGGTCCATTTCTGAGTTTGTGTTTACACTTACAGGTAAAAGATAAGTAAATAAATAAATCATCATGGAAGGGCTTGGTGCTAGTACCTCAACCAAGGATTTTCTGACGGAGCTAGTTAAGGCTCTCAAATCATCGCGCACAGCACCTGAACAAGTAGATTTACCAATTTTCAGACCAGATTTGAGCGATGCAAAAAAATGGCTGGCCGAGGTAGAAAGTATAAAAAGTGAATTTGAATGGTCTGACCAACAGACTATCGTGAGGTTGGGTCGATTTTTAACGGGAATATCTAAAACGTGGTTTGAAAACTGGGCACCAGATGTAAAAAACTGGGACACTTTTGTACGTGACTTTTTGGAGGCGTTTCCACCCAAAAAAATTTTGGGTGAATTACTTCTGAAAGCGGCTCAATTCAATAGTCTCAACTGCAATACGTACGAGGCGTACGTCTTTGAGAAAGTTACTCTGCTTCGAAACCTACGGGCACACTGGGACGAGACAGATCTTGTTGAGATAATCATCCACGGAATTATGGAACGTGACGTGCGTGTCACTGCCGGCAATCAGAATCATAAAAAAATATCCGATCTCATTTCTTATTTAGGATCAGTGCCGAAATGTCGTTCCGGAGAGTCAAGGGCGGATAATACAACTTCGGAAATAAGGGAACCGCCCCGTAAACGGTTCCGTGAGAGCATCGAGGATGATAGAAAACGCAAAAGACCACTCATGTGTTATAATTGTGGAAAAAGAGGTCATATCCAGAAATTTTGCATTGAAGTTAATAAAAATGACGAAACACAGAAAAATTCATCTCCTGCAAATTATTTGAAGTCATCTAAGGTAACCTCTGAGTTAGTGTGTTCCTTCTGTGCTAAAAGTGGACATAAAATTGATGATTGTTTTATAAAAAAGGGGATCGAGAAACGCCGTAATGTGAATCGTTGCAGTAGTGGTAAATCAGGTACTACCGAGGTGATGACGGTCAATGGAATAACGATGAAAGGCATTGTAGATACGGGTGCTGATATTTCATTAATCGCTCGAAAACATGCTGAAAAGTTTCAGGATAAACTAATACCCACTCTCACCACAATTAGCGGTGTATTACCTGGCTGTTATGTTTCTGAAAAATCGTTAATTGCTGACTTTGAGATGTCCGGTGTAAGAACAGAACTCACATTCATTGTTGTGCCTGATAGTTTTCTCGAAAACGACGTATTGGTGGGCTGCAATCTTTATGACGATCCCGACATCGTGACAATCACAAATTATGCTGGTACCAAAATTGTCAAGAACAAAGTTGCTAGAGTTCTTGATATCTTGCCGAATGCTGAAGATCTTGAGGTGGATGTACCAGATATACACAAGTCCAAATTGTTGAAACTTCTTTCCCATTATAGAGACTTTGTAGCGGCTAGTGCAAACGCTGTCACCTGTGTAAATAACACCTCAATGCACATAAGACTTCGCGATGACTTCGTTGTTAATAGAAGCCCTTACCGATTATCAATAAATGAAAGGAAAATTGTTCAAGACATTGTTAATGACCTGTTAAATAACCGTATCATTCAGGAAAGTGAATCGCCTTTTGCCAGCCCCATAATACTCGTCAAAAAGAAGGAGGGTTCTTATAGAATGTGTGTTGATTTTCGTGCGCTCAATCAACATACAATCAAGGATCGATACCCCTTGCCGTTGATAGACGACCAATTGGATCGCTTGGGAAAGAGCAAAGTGTTCACCTCCTTAGATATGTCTTCCGGATTTCATCAAATTCCATTGGATTCTGAATCAGTTCATAAGACTGCATTCGTAACGCCAGACGGGCACTTCGAATATTTACGCATGCCATTTGGCCTAGCCAATGCCCCGGCAGTTTTTCAAAGGGCAATAAATAAAGCATTGGGGAATCTCAGGAATACGGTAGCACTGGTATACCTTGACGATGTTCTGATACCGTCCGAAACTGTTGAAGAAAATTTGGCATCATTGGATCTAGTATTGCAAGCACTCAAAAATGCAGGATTCAGTTTGAACTTGAAAAAGTGTCATTTTCTTCAGAACAAATTAGAATATTTGGGCAGAGAAATATCTGCAGAAGGCATATCTCCTGGGTCACAAAAGGTAGAAGCACTGGTAAGATCCCCGGTACCTACCACATTAAAACAAGTCCGACAGTTGATGGGCTTAGCCGGATACTTTCGGAAATTCATACCCGAGTTTGCTACCCGTACTGCACCTATCACTAAACTTACCAAATCAAACGTGCCTTTTTGTTGGGGTGAAGAACAAGAATCTGCTAGAAGGTATATAATTGAATATTTGACATCGCGACCACTCCTCAGCGTATTCGATCCTGAACTTCCTACCGAATTACACACAGATGCGAGTAGTATTGGTTACGGAGGGATGCTTATCCAAAAGCAAGACGGAAATTTACGTGTTATTGGATACTTCAGTAGAAAAACCAACAAGTATGAAGAAAAATATCATTCTTATGAATTAGAAACTCTTGCCGCGGTAAGCTCCATGAAGTATTTCCGGGTTTATCTCCTCGGTATCCACTTTACGTTGGTTACTGATTGTAACGCTATCAAATCAACAGCAGCAAAGAAGGACATCCTACCAAGAGTAGCTCGCTGGTGGGTCTACATGCAGGATTTTGATATAGTTTATAAAAAAGGGTGTTCATTGCCACATGTAGATTTTTTGAGCAGGAATCCCGTAATTCGCTGTCTGAAGAAATATAACAATTGGTTATATATTGAGCAACGTGGAGATAATGAGGTTAAAAGATTGCTAGATGACTGGAAGGAAGGGCGCTTGGACAAAACTCGTTATTCTGTCAAAAATGATATACTACATTACAATATATCTACATCTGAGGGATCCGTTTCCAAGCCTTTTGTACCCCGACAAAGCAGATTGGGCTTGTTAAGGATATTTCATGAAGAACAGTGTCACGTTGGCATTGACAAAACCTTAGAATCAATAAAAATACACTTTTGGTTCCCACGTATGCGATACTTTGTTACAAAGTATATAAAGCATTGTCTCATCTGTGCTGTGAAGAAAACTAGGTCTGGTCCATTACAGGGCTTCGTCACAAGAGTCGAAAAACCGTCTGAGCCCATGAACATCATTCATGCCGATTGTTTAGGTCCCTTAGAAACTACAAACGAGGGACATAAGCACATTTTGGTATTAATCGATGCGTTTACAAAGTATTGCATACTGTTGCCGTTGAAGACTGTCAAAGCCTGCGAAACGAAAGAAGCTTTTCAGTTGTTCATATCTCTGTTTGGTACGCCGAAGCAAATCATTATGGATGCAGGTAAAAACTTCAAGAACTTGAGCCTCCCAGAATACTTGGACTCCTTGGGCATCAGTTACCATTATACTACCCCCGATGTACACAGGTCCAATGGACAAGTAGAGAGATATATGAGAACAATAATGAATCTTCTGCGAATTGAAACAAAAGTTCGGTCAGAATGGTCGAGTGGTTTATGGAAAATTCAGTTGGTTTTGAATACGACTGTGCAGAAGTCAATAGGAACAACACCACTTCGAGCTTTAATTGGCATTGATGGTTCTACTCCACTCATCCAAAGTTTGCTGGCTAACTTAAGTTCTGATCTACAGCCAATCAGAAATTTACAACTCGATCGTAGTAGAATGAAGGATCGTATGGAGTCGTTAGCAGAGGCTAAAATCAAGGAGAATGAAAAACGCCGAAATACCAAAACCTTCAGCATTGGAGATTTTGTCCTTATGCACCGTGATGATAAGATGCACCAAGGTAAATTGAAGTATGAATTCCAGGGACCTTTTGAAATTGTGGGTATCACACCAAAAGGTCGATATGAAATGAAGAGAGTTGGTAAATCTCTTGTGACTAAGGCTGCTAAAGAACAATTGAGGAGTTGGCCTAGCGATTGGTCTATGACTGTGAACATGGAGGAGCTTCTTGAAGATTTAGAGGATGAGTAAGTAGTCTGGATATTGGCCAGTGTTAGAATGTAGTTTGTGACGTCAGAAATATATTTTGCATGTATTTATCTGGTGTTTAAAGCTTGGTACGCTTTGCACGCAATTGTTTCATGTTTTAAAGCTTGCTACGCTTTGCATGTGCTTATCTGGTGTTTAAAGCTTGGTACGCTTTGCACGCAATTGTTTCATGTTTAAGAGCTTGCTACGCTTTGCATGTATTTGTCTGGTGTTTAAAGCTTGGTACGCTTTGCACGCAATTGTTTCATGTTTTAAAGCTTGCTACGCTTTGCATGTGCTTATCTGGTGTTTAAAGTTTGGTACACTTTGCACGCAATTTTTTTTCATGTTTTAAAAGCTTGCTACGCTTTGCATGTGTCTATCTGTTGTTTAAAGCTTGGTACGCGTTGCACGCAATTGTTTTATGTTTTAAATCTTGCTACTCTCTGCATGTATTTATCTGGTGCGTTATGCATTCTTACTTAATGTAATTGTTTATAAAGTCAAGTTTGACTTTGTGGTATTGTTTCAGTGAGGAAGAACCAGAGATTGCAGATGGAACTGAAGCAAGGAGTGAATGATTACGTTGTCTGTTATTATTGTTTGCGATGTTTGTTATTTGTTATAATGTTACTAATTTCTGAATTTGTTTAATACAAGAATATTTTCTTTCTGAGTATTTTGTATTTACTTCGTTGCTACAAATCAGGCTGTTATACAATTAACGTCGAGAACGACTTTGTACTCAGGTTGGCCGTGTTAGAATCAAAATAATGAAATTACGGACGTTAATTTTTGACAGACAAATTTAGTAAATACAACCCCGACCGCCCACGGTCGGCACGCCGGTGGTCGATCGAGGCCAGTCTGTGCGTACCGCTCGAATAGTAAGGAGCCTGTCGTGGTCTGTGTTTTGCTAGTTGTCTTATCTTATCACCAAAATTCTATCACTATATATACCGTCCATAACCATGCAACGAATTCCCACACACTCAAAAAAAGCACACAGGGAAAGCATAAGAAGAAGTATATTCCAGAAGAGACTATAAGTTTAGTGAAAGAGCATATCAAAATGTTTCCTGTCGTAAGGAGCCATTATTGTCGCGCAGAAACAAAAAGGCAATACCTAGAAGGTGAACTGTCAATTAAGAAAATGTATGAGCTATATGAAGAATTTGTAGCAGAAAAGGGTTTAAGCCCTGTAAAATTTCACAAATACCGTGAAATTTTCTGTACAGAGTTCAATTACTCTTTTATTAAGCCAGTAAAAGATTTATGTGATCTTTGTGCCGAGGTAGATTTAAAGAAAAAAGAAAATAACCTTAGTGATGAAAAGAGATATGAATTTGAGAGACATATTAAAGAAAAGAACCTTATGAGAGAAGAGAAGAAAGCAGACAAAGAAAGTGGCATACCAATTCTGAATTTTGACCTAGAAAATGTTCTAACTTGCCCAAAGGGAGGAGTAAAGATTTTTTTTACAAGTCTAAGCTTAATGTTTACAACATGACCGCACATCTTTCAATTGACCGAAAAGTTTATTGAGCAGTTTGGTCAGAAGCTGTTCATAGTCGTGCTGGTAATGACATCGCAAGCGCTGTCTACAAAATTCTAAGAAGGGTTACAGAAGATTGTCCTCTATTGGATGAGCTGATTTTGTGGAGCGATAGCTGCGTCCCACAAAATCGGAACAGCTTAATGAGTTATGCTATTGCCCATCTTTTACAAGTCAGTTCGAGCTTAAAGAAAATAACAATGAAATTTTCCGTACCAGGGCACTCATGCATCCAGGAAGTCGATTCCGTGCATAGCGCAATTGAGCGCACTCTGCGTAAATCTGAATACTCATCTCCCATTTCTTTGATTCGGATCCTTTTAAGTGTGAATTCTAAAAAACCCTATAACATTCTTCAAATGAGAGAACAGGATTTTTTTGATTTTAATTACTATTCGGTTAAAATGAATTATAAGTCTGTCCCATTTTCAAAGGTGGTAGCCTTAGAATTTAACAAATCGTTCTACGAGATAAGGTATCGGCTCTCTTTTTCTGAGGCTGAATATAGATCTTTGAATTTAAGACAAAGAATTGGCCGACGTCAATCCCACGTCACTGCAGAAAGAGGCGATATATTATTTCCCGAAATACTGAGGAAAAATGATTATGCAGTGGTACTTGCACAACACAAAGTAGATGCAATAAAATCAATGTTCAAGTGGATGCCAAAAAATGATGTGACTTTCTATGAAACTGTTTTTAGTAGATTAGATAAAAATAAAAAATAAGATTTCGAGTATAAGTATTTGATGGATTTGATACTCCCTTGTATTAACTAAGTTTTAGTTTGTTTTGTCTTAACTTTAAGAATTTGGGTTATTTTTATTTAATTTCAAGTTTTGAAGTCCTATGTTTGCCAATATCCTTAATTTTTAAACTTATTTGACAATAACGGAGTCCTATGTATTTTTGTTTATCTAAAATAAAGACCAATAAAAAAAAGTGTGACAACTTCCTTTATATACCATGTACCTTTTACTTACAAAGATGTAAAAATCACAGTAAGAACCAAAAGATGTTCAAATTTAAGTAGATATAAACCTCAATTTCTTTAATATTGATTTTCTCGAGTTCGAATAATTGTAACATAAGACTATGTAATTCTAGGGCAGCGATATGACAAACTTTATAAAGTGAGGCCACTTCTTTCCAGATTACAAGAGACATTTCTTTCTTCACTAAAGCCAAATGAGTTTCAGTCAGTAGATGAATCAATGATACGGTTCAAAGGCCGCAGTAGTATCAGACAGTACATGCCAATGAAACCTATAAAGCGCGGTTATAAGGTTTGGGTCAGAGCAGATTCCAGTGGATACATGTGTGAATTTCAAATCTATACCGGCAAGGTGGATCACGCTCCAGAAAAGAAATTAGGAGAGAGAGTTGTTATAGATCTAAGTAGAAACTTGGTTGGAAAAAACCACAAGATTTACTTTGACAACTTTTTCAATTCTGTCGAGTTACAAAGACAGTTGATCAACAATAAAATATACTCCTGTGGTACCTTACGAAAGGGTAGAAAGCACTGTCCTGAATTCAAGTCGGACAAGGATATGAAACGTGGTGAAGTCGATTGGCATGTTTCCAAAGATGGTTTAGTTGCCCTGAAATGGGTAGACCGGCGTAGCATACTTATGTTGGGAAATCACAATGATCCCTCTGTTTTAGATACAGCATCTAGAAAAAGAAAAGACGGCTCTCCAGAGGATATACCATGTCCCCAGATGGTTTGTGAATACAATGCCCATATGGGCTATGTGGATCGCTTTGATATGTTGAAAAGTCTCTATGGAGTTAACAGGAAAGCACATAAGTGGTGGCATAGAATTCTATTCTACTTCCTAGATGCTTGCGTTGTAAACAGTTTTATACTCTTCCAGCTAAGAAGTAACTCTAAGGGATTAACTCTGAAAAAAATTCGACTGCCTTTGGCACGAGGTCTCATTGGAGTAATAGAACCCACTAAACGAGGAAGACCATCTTTTGCACCTACTGTAAATAGATTCAAGAAAGTGGTACCCTATGAAGTACGATACTGTAAGGCTTCTCACATGCCTGAAAGATCAACATCTCTTAGATGCTCCCACTGCAGTACACTTGATAATCCACATAGAACTATATGGAAGTGTTCGACGTGTCATGTGGGATTATGCTTGAATAAAGATAGAAACTGCTTCTCACTGTTTCACAAAAGATAACTTTTTTAATTCTTTTTTGAAAGTATACCTTAGTTCCTGGTGGTTAGCGTTGGTGACCACGTCCTGAAGGATAGCTACACATGTTTATTTGAGAGTACTTTGTTTTAGAGGTTTATTTGTACTATTTTTAACTCATTGTTCAATAAATTTTAGGAGTTTGTGAATTTTATTTAAGTTCGGGCTCAAAGGGTTAAACATAAAAATAATGAATTGAACAAAAATGTTAAGATTATGAGATTCTGCACTCTTACAGCAATAGAAATACAACTACAAATTCATAAATACCTGTCCCTAGTAAAAGTAGACAGTCTAAAACTTTAATAGCTGATATCTCAATAGTAACTTTTTGCTACATACCGCCTTCTTCCACTTAGCTCTTCAATTGTAAGCAAATTTGCAAATCTCATAATTTGAACTCTGTGAATTTTGCAGGTAAACTAAACAAAACCTAAAAGCAGCAAGTGAGCACAAATCACATTCAGATGAGGCTAGTTAAGTGAGTTCCGGTAAAAAAGAACCTACAGTCAACTGAGCAAATTGAAGGTAGATGAGCGTATCTAAGACTGGATGTAAAACAAACGCGACTTCAATATTCAAGCATTAACCCTTTACCGCATCATGTGCCATATATGACCCAACATGGGCGTAGTCAAGGTGGGGCAGGGTGGGGCGCTTGCCCCCCCTAGACGGACCCTATTAAAAAAAAATTGAATTATATAACTAAAAAAAAATTAATTCAAATGATCCTACCCTACTTACTTCCTAAACCTCTTAACTGGGTATGTCAGATATTTTCGCATCCTAAAAAGTTAAAATTAATGAATAAAAAAGCAACGCTCCCAGTTTAAATGCAAGAAATTATAATAAAATAGTGTATATCTGGTTGCATAGAAACAAGTTTCAATAGCTCCCATTTAAGTTGCCATTTGCCATTGTATTGTTAGGTTTTAGATCAGCGGTTCCCAACCCGTTTTTAGCGAGGGACCACTTTGAATTCGTAATTGTTTGCCACTACCAGTTGACAGTTCACACTTTAAGGTTAACTTATTTCGCGAAATCAAATGTAAAGCTTGCTTTGTTTTGTATTTGAGCATTGAGCATCACTGTTTTTTGAGATTTTGGTTTGTTTGTTAGTAATGTTTATTTTTGGTTTACCTAATTATTTGTGTTACGCATATTCGTACATAGTTAAGGTGTACTCGAAGATTTTTTGTCTCAAGCAGTTTGCCAGTGAGCCGTGGATAAAAGTTTATTTAATAATGGACATTAGAAAATTCTTTAGCTCCAAAGGTAAGCAAGCAATAATTTGAATACTTACTAATTATTATTAGGTAAGGGTAAGAAGGGAATATAGTTATCATTACATATCACTTATCATTAAATAAGTGATTTGTTTATGAATGGCGATGGCGAGTTTACTCAGCTAGCCGTTTTCCGATGTTTTGTGGTTTTCCGTTCAGTCGGTGTTGATATTCTTATGCTAGTGATAGTAGCAATGAGAATAAATTTGGCGCAGGCTGAGCATACAATATGTACCTTTTGTGTATACTTGGATATTTTTTAGGTAGTCAGAAAAGGAAGCAAACAGATAAAAGTAGTGGCGAGAGCGGGAGTGATAGCGGCGGGGAAGAAAAGTCAAAACAAAATGTCAGTTCTTGCGGCTCTAGCGCCCCAGTCGTTTTGGATACACCGAGTCAATCTTCACTACCGTCAGGATCCGGCAAAACATTTGATGAATCCTATTATGAAAATGACCTTGGTAACTGGGTTGGACGTTCATTTAGTATGACTTCAGTTCAAAGAAGAGAAGTTTTGAAAAACTGCTGGTCTCCACCTGCCAGTTATGACTTTTCCAAGGATGCTGTTCAGTTGAAGAGGAAATTTAAATTCTGCTGGCTATCTGAATATGCCCCTTGGCTTGCATACTCAAAAAAGTTAAAGGGCGCCTTGTGCATTTATTGTGTACTTTTTCCTCCTACTAATGTGCGTGGTGTCCTAGGCTCATTTATAGTGCGGCCGTTTACCCGCTATAAAGATATGCACGAGTTTGCCAAATCGCATACATCATCTCAATGGCATAAATCAGCAGCTACAGCTGCAAAATGTTTCGATGAGAACTTACCAGTTGATGTGCAGCTGATATCTGCTCACAATAGTGAAATAGAGGCGAATAAGAAGATTTTAGCATCAATAATTTCAACCGTCATTTTTTGTGGGACACATGATTTGCCTTTAAGGGGCAAAGAACTTCACGAGGGAGTTTTCCAAGACCTGATTAAACTTAAAATTGAAGCTGGTGACCAAAACTTGAAAACACACATGGAGAATGGCCCAAAAAATGCCACCTACCTGTCACCACAAATTCAGAATGAAATTATTGACCTTTGTGGTGAGGTCATAAGAGAGGATATCATTATGGATATCAGGAAGGCATGCGCATACAGTATACTAGCCGATGAAAGCAGCGATATTTCTGGAAAAGAACAACTTTCTATTGGTGTGAGGTTTTTTGATGAAGAACTTATGATGATTCGAGAAGAATTTCTGGGGTTCGTGGAACTAAGTGCCATGGATGCTATTTCTATAGCCTCCGCCATTGATAATTTCCTAGCCAACGCAGGCCTTGACCCTGAAAAGTGCGTCGGACAAGGGTACGATGGATGTTCCACCATGGCTGGAAAGGACGGCGGGGTACAAAAAATTCTCCGGGAAAAGTACATGCGGGGGTTGTATTTTCATTGTGCTAGTCACAAACTTAATTTAGTGATGAACGATTTAAACCAGTTAGCAATGATTCGAAATACAGTGGCCACAATAAAAGAAATAATAAGATTTTTCCGAGAATCCCCACTTCAGCGAAAATTCGTTCCAAACGTGCCGATGTTCTGTGAGACCCGCTGGTCTCAAAAATACAGAAGCATCGCCATTTTTAGAGAGCATTATGTAGAAATCGTGGCTGCTTTAAAAACGTTCTCAACAGATGGTAATGCAGCTACGAGAAAAGCTGCTTTTCAAATGCATTGTGCTGCTTCAAATTCCGAGTTTATTGTAAGTGTCTGCTTAATAGCAAAATATTCTGCATTATTGCAACCAGTTGTGAATGTTTTGCAGTCAAAAAGTTTAGACTTATTACAATGTATGAATCATGTAAAAAGAATTACAGACCTTTTAAAAACACACCGGGAAAATGTTAGTGCCGAAAGCGTATACATACTAAAAGAAGCCGAAAAAATAGCCGAAGACATTAATACGGACTTTAAAATGCCGAGAGTTACAAACCGACAAACGCTTCGTGCAAATCCTCCAGCAGCTTCTGGTACTGAGTACTGGACGAGATCTTTTATAATTCCGTATCTGGATTCATTGATAATGTCTTTAGGACAGCGATTCTCTAATGAAAATCTGCCAGCCTACGAGTTGCTTTCATTACACCCTAGTATATTTCTTTCTTTATCATTTGCTGAGTTTTTAAAAAAAGTTAAAGTCTTTTGTGACTACTACAACTTAAACGAGATTTTGGCTGAAATGGAACTATGGTATAATCTGTGGAAAGAAAAAAAGAAGTCAGACTCGGAGTTAAAAGAGATTGAACTAGTTGAACTAGTTAAAGAGGCGCAATCTTTTTACCCAGGCATTAAAAAAGCCCTCCAAATTTCACTCGCGCAGCCTTGCACTACCTGCACAATAGGAAGATCATTCAGCACCTTACGTCGGGTAAAAACTTGGTTACGATCAACAATGTTGGAAAATCGGCTTGTTGGACTTTGCATGATGAGCGTCCATCGAAAAAGAGTTTTAAACGCGAAGGATGAGTTTGAAAAAGAAATTTTGTCCAGGTTTAGCAAGAATTGTAGAAAACTAATGCTAAAATAAAATACTTATATATAAACCCAACATGTTTTTTTAATAAATTTTTTATGTTAAGTTGAGTTTCCTTGTTTTCTTGCCCCACCCTGGAGAACTCCCTGGCTACGCCCATGTGACCCAAACTACAAAAATAAAAAAATATTGTCTCAAATTAAGTTGTATTCCTTTACTGCATACTATGCCATATTTGGAACGCACCCGCTTACACACAGCAAAACGCGCACATCGATAGTAGTGCTCAATTACGAGTTATTTCGTGTCAGAGCCTGCCGCGCGCCATTTCTTGCTAGCAGGTGATGGATCCGTGTTGTTTGCAAGTTTTTTGTCTTCTAAAATTAGAAAATCCCCAAAATAAAATTATTGACATTACGGGTGAAGTGTAAACTATGTTATAAGGTAAGTTGTTTTTCATTTGATGTTAATTTAGGAAGTTATGTGTACGATTTTGTGCTTGTGCCATATATGGAACAATATGCAATTATATTTACATTGGTTGCTTTTATTTCCAGTTATGGACCCAAAGAAATTTTATGGTACTCTACAATATGCAGCTGATATAGAGTCCGATGAGAGTGACGATCCAGATTTATCCGGCGACGATGCTGAAAGTGGTGTACATTCAAAAATACAAACCAATCAAAATGATCCAGATTCAGAGTCCGACTATTCATCTGATGATGATTTGCCCCTATCAGAAATTCAAAGACGAATATCGAAGAATATTGAATGGCACGAAGGTAATCTATTGAAAAACGTTGACGAAATTCAATTTAGAGGTAATCAGGATCTTCCGGATTCGATTCGTACGCTTGCAACTCCACTAGAATACTTCAAACTCCTTTTCCCAAACGAGCTTATAAGTTACATTATCGAGCAAAGTAATTTGTATAATATCCAGTGTCAACCAGACAAGCCTGTCCACATAAAACATCACGAGATTGAACAGTTTATCGGAATCTGCATTTTGACCTCTCTAATACAATTGCTTTCTACAAGAGATTATTGGAATGTTTCCTTAGGCCATCCTGCTGTTTCTGAGGTTATGTCCTGCAACAGGTTCGAGACCATAAAACGCTTCATACATTTCAATGACAATAGTCAAATGATCCAAAGAGGTCAACCAGGTATAGTGGGTGGATCACATATACATAGATTAAATGATCATGTCACTAAAAAAGGAACACTCAACAATTTCAGACCGAATATAACTACTCATGTGTACATCAGTTCTGATGAGCTTGGTAAATACTCTCGAGGTGAAGACAACTACAATATGCATATACAAGGATTCTTTCATTTGGGATATAGTAAGCTTGAATATGATATCTTTAACGATGTATTCAATTATGACACGTTACATCTCCACATTAATTGTGATTATTGTAATGATAAACTTTTTGAGATTCTTATAACAGGAGGGGCACCTTATAATTCAAATTTATGTTGGAATAACAATCCCCTATTATATTCTAAAATCCAGGAGGCACCATCCTTAATGAATCCATCCAGCCCCATTCTCCGTTTTTGCAGAAGTAGGAATCCTGCTGTCGCCGTCGGAGAACTCTTATTAAGCCGAGTGCTTAAGAATCTAAATCAGTCTTCTTGGGGGATCACAGACCCGGGAGCCATATATACATCTCCCATACGAATTTTCGATTTGATGTCTGCAGGGATAGGGAATATACTATTATGTTTTAGTTATTTTATGTATCTGTATTTCTATGATAGCAGGCTCAAGCCATTATTATTATTATTATGATAGCAGGCTCAAGCTCAGATGTATGGTTGCAAATGTATTAAATTACGAGATCTGGAGAGATGTTGCCACAAATTGTCTGATTCCCGAAATATTATCTTCTTTAATAATAGAAAGCGGGACCTCTGCTCCTCCAGGGCTATACATAGAGAAAACTGTCATAAAACTTCTAAATAGAATTGTTGTAAAAAACTTGAAAAACATGGAGACACGATAAGTTACTCAAAATTAGACCTCTTCTTACGCAAATCAGAGAAAGGCTGCTATTAGTACCACGTGAGGAACACCTTGCTATAGACGAGCAAATCATTCCTACCAAAGCTAGAAGTCAACTAAAACAATATAACCCTAAGAAACCTCACAAGTGGGGTTATAAGAATTTTGTTCTCAGCGGAATTTCTGGGTTCAGCTACGATTTCGACCTTTTTGCAGGATCCCAAAGCAATCAAGTTCCTAACGGGCGCCCAAACTTGTAATGAGTGTAATGTTGTAATAAGGTTATCCGAGAGTATCCCAAGGAATAAAAATTATAAACTATTTTTTGACAATTGGTTTACTGGCATCCCTTTGATGATTTACTTACATAAAGAAGGGATAATGCCTTTAGGGACAGTTCGAGCCAACCGTATACCATGTACATTACCATCTGAAAAAGATATGAAAAAACTGGTCGTGGCTCAATAAAAGAAAACATATCTCGCATAGATAATGTGGATATTGCAACAGTGTCATGGTATGACTATAAAGTCGTGACAACCCTTTCTACCTATGTTGGTTCTCAACCTCGTGGTGAAAAGAAAAGATTTTTCAAAAAAGAGAACATCCATAAAATGATTGAATGCCCTAGAAGTGTTTTTGTTTACAATAATTACATGGGAGGTGTCGATCTTCTGGATGCCATGTTGGGATTGTATAGGATTAGAATTCGATCAAAGAAATGGTATTTACGCATATTTTTTCACATGTTGGATTTGTGTTGCGTAAATGCTTGGTTGTTGTGGAGACGCAGCAATAAAGAATTTGATCTACCCCTTAAAGACTTCAAGCTGGCCATCGCTGATTCTTTATGCAATCTTAATAGAGAACATAAAAGAAGAGTAGGAAGACCTTCAGCAGAGGTTCAGACATTATATGCCATGAAAAAGAAAAGTAGACCTACCAAAGAAATTCCTCAACAAGAGGTACGTCTTGATGGTATGGACCATTTACCAGAATGGAGTGAACAACAAAGATCAAGATGCAAGTTTCCATTGTGTCAATCTAAATCCTTTGTGTCTTGTACGAAATCCAAAGTTTCCTTGTGTTTTAATAAAGAGCGAAATTGTTTTTTGAGGTTCCACACTGAATAAAGGACAATGTTGCATAATGTTCCATATATGTCACTTTCCATTTTTTTCAAAATAAATAAAGTATGTATTATACAAAAATTTTTTTGGTATTTTTTACATAAAGTATATTTCTCCATTCCTGGGATTTTTTTCGATGAAAACAAAAAATTTATGCAGTAAAGGGTTAATTTCCTCACCCCAAATGTCAGCTTACTAACTTTAATCGTTCAAACAACAATATGAGGGGGCTGTTTCAAAAGCACTGGGAACGAAATGCTAGTGGAGAGAACTAAATCGATCTCAGCGCTCGCAAAGGGAAACATCAGTGGGCTGATAGAGGAATATAGCCGTGTTTTCTATGGTCAAATTCGTGGCATGTGTAGTCAACTAAGGACTAGCAAAGGTGTAAATATTCCACTGTCATCACTTATCAGATCAAAAGAGAATAGCCAGTTTGAAATTCAAATTGTTCCTCACTTCAAATCGACTAAATGTCTGAAGTCTCATTAGTAACCACAAGCACAAATATTTAAGTCCGGCATCCGAGAGGCGGCGTTATAATCGCAGACCCAGCAAATAATCATTATTAGAAATTTACCTGACGTATTGTGTTCATGATAAAAAGGGACATTCGTGGCCGGATTCGGCACGACTGAAGATCTGGTAACTATTTGAGAAAGCATTCTTTGGTATGTTATTATTTGAAGATATTAAAAAACATGACCAAATTAATAATATAGGTTGCAACAAGCAAATGCAGGTTCTATCCAGATTGATGATTTATCGGGTCTCATTTATCATCGTCTTGCTTATTATTATCATCACTGTTTTTTTCAACTTCATTGTCTATTTGTTTATCCTCCTCATCACTATCCTTGATGTCACTTTTATCAGACTCATCCTCACTCAAAACAGGTTCCTCACCTGCTTCCTGTTTAATAACAAATCTGCAATACAACAAAAACACTTAAGATATCAAATGTCTTTTGCTAAACCACTATAACATGCATGTTAACATAGCAACCCTTATGTTGTGCAACAAATTACTGAGGTTGGGAACTGAGCCTAACTGGCATAAAACTCCTGCAGGAAATCTGTCACTATCACAATGTCAGCTTATAATCTGTGGTGAAGCATTTAAATCCAAACTTAACCGAATATACAGGGTGTTTCACATTCGACCCTCACCATTAGAATATCGGAAACTGTAAGAGATACGAAGTCCTTCAATTAGGGCAAAGTTGCGCATTTAGGTAATCAACAAAATGTGGCTTAGAAAGTTTAGAAATTCAAAGTACTTCCGGAGAGACACGGAAAAAACCTAATTTTCCCAAAATGGTTTTAATTTTTTACTGACATTGTACTGGGATTTCAAACTAACTTGCTCATCAACATTGACACTTTTTCTCCTCTACAAGATGGCATAATTAGAATTTCAATATGAGGTTTCATCTCTTGTCCTCCAAATTCAACTTTATTTTTCTAATGGGTGCCATATTGGATTTTTGCACAGATAATACGTCATACATTGACATTACTAAACCTTAGTTAATTCAAAAAAGAATTTCCTAGGTATGATTAGCTTCTTAAATTTGGATTTCAGTTTTTTACAGTAATAGATTCTCTGTTTGAGTGCTATGCCACTAGTCTCGCGACACGCAGGGTTATTACGTAAAAACCTATATAATTTCAAAAAAACCTGATGAAATTTAAATATAAAAAAACCGACATAATCTCAATTTTCAAGATACGTACGAGTAATACCACTGCAGCATGGGTATCATGTAAAAAACCTATGAAACGTCAAAAAAAAACTATAAGATGTCATCTTGCAAACTAGGTAGTTTTTAGGGCACAAACAGCCATTCCACGTTTGCTCACTAGGATCGTTGTGAACGTCCATCTAAGAAGAATCACTCAACTAAACTACACGCATTATTGCTTGGATATGTTTTGCGAGGCCAAATGGTCCTTGTCTGTAGTTTTTATCTCTGAGCAGAAAGTTGGTTGAATAGCAAGATGACATGTGGATAATTATGTGTATTGGTCTGCATGTGTATAAAATCAGTAATACTTGCTGTGTGAGGAAATCATTACTGAATATGCTATCAATGAAGTATATCTATTGGCTGTCCCCCCCCCCCGGGTTATTTTTGTTGTGCTTTCTGAAGAGAGGTTATGTTCAAAGTTCTAAATTACGAAAACTGAGGAGAATTACGGGAAATCATCACCGCGCCCGCGTTGTGCGTAATTACTGTTAGCAAGTATATGGCTGGTAATTCGACAGTGTACAGTGGATATAATTATTTCTTATCGCTCTCATTTTTGAAATTCAGCAAATTTGTATATGTAATTTCCAGAATAAGAAAAAGCGGCTGCGCAACTAATTTCTAGCTTTGAATCTCAATTAAGTGTATTTGAGACAAGAATCCAATGTAATTATCATCAACTTACAGCTTAGACCTCCAGTAATGCCATCTCAAAAGCAGATTTTACAACACATCAGAGCCAAAGATTGATAACGGAAAATAAAGAATAAAGAAAATTGAAGTAACTTTATACTTACTCGTCACAAACTTTTCCTATCTTCTCCAGGCCTTGTTTCAGGTTTTCTTTCAATCTGCTGTTAAGATTATCATCTTTAGTTGCTGGATCTTCAGTTTCTTGTATATATGAGCAATGAGAATCATACAGTTCCCGTTTTCTTCGTATTTGTAATAAATCGCCCAATTTTTTGAAACAGTGCACAGCTATAAAATAAATATTAACATATTGCATTCCATTACCTACTGAATATAATATGATAAACTATTGCAAGACAAATAAGGCAACTTCAACAATTCACGTTTTTGCTACTTTCCCAGTAAGCTGTCAAATGTAACGCTGTTCTGTGCAAACAACAGCTTTACCTGGTCAAATGTGAGCAATACAGCTGCTTTTTCACGTATTTCTAAAGGTATCATCATTTAAGAAATGTTTTTGATTGTGGAAAAATATGTATAATGAGAAAAAAATATGATGGTTACAATAGTTACCTTCTGCTTTTAATCTGTTCTCAGATAACTGCAGATTATGTGCATCTACAACTTTTTTAATGAACCTCTCCATTTCATAGTAACTGGGAAAATGATTATTTCTGAACTTTTTGCTGATAGCCCTGTTGATTTCATTAAACTCTGAGTCTGCAAAATCTACTTTAGAGTGTGTCAGACGACCACTGTGTGGGTTTTTCTTCAAAATCTCACAGTATTTCTTGTATACATTGACTAGTCTTTGATTATACCTGAAAAATGGTGATGTTCAGGTCATGGCTCTATACCAATGGCAAATCCAGACAGGAAAACCGACCAAGACTTTATAAAGGGATCAAAAATTGTTGTAACTGCAACATGGTGTATAGTATTGACTGTGTGCATTATATTTTATTTCTTTTTTTCACATATCCAGTTTCTGACTTATTAATTTTCTTTGAATTGCTGATTCCTTTGAAAAGTATGCTAAGTTAAAAGAATGAATAAATGCAGATTATAAAGGGAGGCCCACAATAAATATGGCAAAAAGAGATTCTGGATCATCAGTCATTAACCCATTCGCGGCCAAACTTTATTATTTTTTTTGTTAAGAAATTTTAGCTTTAGCCTAGGCAGCTTGTATGTGGAAAAATAGTAAAAAAAATCTTTTTGAACATTTACAATCGCCACAGGCGAAAAAAAAAATGTTCCAAATTTGGAACTTGGCGTCATAAGGGTCTTGTTGGCTAATTATTAAAAAATAAACTAAAGTATCCATATAACATTTATTTTTATTTTATACACTACGAAGATGCACTTTGATGAAATATTTTAAAACAATCGAGTGGATGTACATTAATCATACATATACCACAACCAAATGTAGTATTTTTTTTGCAAACTTTCCATCTATTTTGTTTCATGGAGTTTGGGTAGTGCAAAACAGACATATTCTTGGAGACTGCCTCAGGAACCTTTAGAAATATAGCTCCGTCTTGTCTTTGTGCTCTGGGACTCAGAAGTAAATATGTTGATACAATGTATCTGATAAAGCCAAGTAAATCAAGAGAACGAGAACTGTCCATGAATTCATCAGCACTAGATTTCTTTTTTTTCATCTTTTGAGATTCTGTATAAGATCCAAGCATTAGAGACCGAAGCGCATAAAAGATGTATAAAAACTTGCCACCACCATTTATTATTACGCAGTTGCGGGCGATAATTAGAAATATTTCTATCCATTAAATCTGTACCACCCATATTAGTATTGTACTGCTGAATAGCATGAGGCATCTGTACCATAATATATTTTTTGTCAGCAGCAGAATAACGGCGTGCTGCTTTTGTGGGCTGCAAGCCAAAGCAGTTTGAAGCAACATGGACTATGGAGTTATCTTTCCATTGCATAACAATAACTTCTTTAGTTGAATTAACGTACGAGTCCATAGAACCCCTATGCGATTTCTTCATTGCAGATTTATTTAGAGGACATTTTTCTAGTCTGTTTTGCCGGATCGTACCTGTGCATCCAAAATCCATTTCACTTAATTTTTTTATCAGTGGAAGACCCGTGAAAAAGTTATCTATAACGAAGTTAAATTTTTGATCTGGAAATCGCTGTTTCAATTTTTCTGCAAAGGTGTAAACAACAGATGCTCCTAGGCCAAGGTCACTATCTCCTAATATTGTTCCTTGCCTTGATATGGTTCAGTGTTCACAAGATAAGCGTTTGATACATTTGCAGACCAAAATTTGAACCCATATCTAATAGGCTTTCCTTGAATTCTTTGCTTGCAACTGTGGTGACTATAGTATGGTACCATTGATTCGTCAACAGATATTGATGTGGTTTGAGTAAGAGGGGTATGCTGTAGAAAAACAGTGTTTAGGTGGTTGATCAGTGGCCTTACTTTCCCAAATTTGTCATTGGCTGGCAGCTGAGTGTTATTTACAAAGTGCAAATTTCTCAAAATATCTCGGAATTTATTTCTTGACATCCCCTAGGAACCGCTTCATTGAGAAGATCAGAGTCCATACTCCAATACATATCTTTCCTGGGCCTTTTAGAGTAACCAGAAATTAGCAAAATTGAGAAAAAAACCTTTAGTTCTTCCACGGTCACAGTAAAAGATGTGTTTGCATTTTTCTGGGTAGCATACAATATATGTAGTTTGTTCTTTTATGTTTTCAAAAAAAGCATCAGTCCAAAATAATTCGAAAAATTGAATAGGATTTTCTTTTGAAACCAGGTTATTATATGTGTCAGATTCTATTACATTATTCAGATTCACAGAGTTTGGTAAGTCTTGCTGATACCAGTTTTCCAGTTTTGACTTTGACGTGAATTTTTTGCTTTTGGGTATGTATTTTACTAAAGGCTCATTGTCATCACTGCTGGATTCTTGATGCTGCTTACTGCCATGTGATACAAGAGTAGCTTCAGCTGGTGCACCTAATATTTTTTGAGAAAATTTCTCACAAAAATCCCCTTCATTTTCATTTCCTGAGGCTTCAGAGTCGCCCTCAGAATCCTCCATTGGTGGACTTATAGTATATATATGTTAGCTGATTCAAAGTGCTCTTCATGCAGTTTGTCAATGAGTCGGTTCAAACTGGTTGAACAGGTGGATTTTTTCCGTAAAAGGTTTTGCAATCCATAACCTAAAATAAATACAAAAGTGCAATAGAAGTAGCCATGTTCCATTATTGGAACATAACAAAATGTGACGATAGAAGGTACAAATGAGAAAAGATACTTATTTTACTCAAACTTACCAATAAAACAATAGCCAGACCTTGCTTCTGTTTATAGAGAACTTCAATTTTTCAGCAGTTTGTATTGTTTACGCGCCAGTAATAACACAAAAAATTGTTTTAAAAATAAAATAACCTAGCTGCACTGGTATGTTTACTGCCGTAATATAACCTAAAAAGTTTACTGAAAACGGGTGCTCCCGATGCTGTGAATTGCTAACAATGGTTCTGATTAATACTTGTGCCTCCATCTATTCAACTACATCCCAAAATATCGCGTGTTCCAATTTTGGAACAATGCTGCGAATGGGTTAATGAAATACATGGTGTTGAAGTAGTTCGCTTTTCAATATCTTTACTTTTTTTTCTATAACTTAAGCTCTTCTTGTAATATCAATATGAACAGTGGGAATCTGTGAGTTCTGTTTGCTATTTTATGCAGTAACTTATTTATTTATTTATTTACAATTCCCTATTACATACATAAAAGCATCTTACATTTATGTAACAGATTTTGTATAAATTATTAATCCAAAAGGTACACATTATTGAACTACACAAACATTACACTCATCTTCTCATGTAATACTTGTGTAATACCTACCTACCTATTCAAAACCCTAACAAACTAAGTTAAAAACATTTTTCATAATATGTTTCTTGATGTACTCAATACTGCTACCAAAAATATCTTTGTTGTAACTTACAGTCATTAGTACCATTCAATTATTTATATTCAATTGCATAGTCAAATGCCCAGCTCAAACACAGTCCTTCAATAATGGATTCTGTTATGGATCTGTAACACAGATATTCCTGAGGTGTCGTCCACAAAAAATTCCACTCTTAAAGAACTGTTCTAGATCCAGTCATTTTACTGCACAATGGCATCCTGGGATGCAATTATCTCAAAGGTTTTTAAAATTGAACATTTACAACACCCTGTATATCATCAGTGAAAGACATTTTATTGAGACATATTTAGGTCTGTATCATTATCTTCAAGATTGCTTTCAAGCGCATTCAGTATATGAACCATCCCAGATACAGATCTAGACACACAACCCACAGTGCATCCAGCTTTCTTGAGAATCCTCCTGCTGCCATATTCTCAGCCCTTTGAGTACTGGCACTAAGGCCTGTATCGTCAGTCGTCCCTACAATTGTAGGGCGCGTTTATGGCCTCCTTGATTGTCATATTCCTTCAAAAATTTCTAGATTACACTTGTCCCGTGTCAGCATCAGCGCTCTCCTATTGTGAAGATATGTTTTCCTTTTAAATTGTAGGAAATTTAAGGCTGATAAAACATGATATAACTCAAAAGCAATCACAATTTAATGCAAATAGATGTTTGTGACATAACCTCAAAATAGAGCACTGACATGGAAAAATAGAAAACTATGACAATCAAGCAGGCCATAAAGGCGCCCTACAATTGTAGGGACGACTGACGATATGGGCCTAAGAGATGCTAGATATGCCACTATACAAGTTTCTCCCACTCAGAGAAAAATAGAGCAAATGCAAACCCAACAGTATGCACGTATACTAGTGAGTCTGCATAAATTCTGAAGCACTGATCATATAAATTGTTGTATATCAAGTATGGTTCAATTTTCCACAAGTTGGAGTAAATGCTGTATCATTTACTATGATCTGTGTATATTCATACCTATCTAGTTGAAGATAAACAGAATCCTCTTCATCATCAAAATCAATCTCAGCAACCTCTAACTTTTTAATCTTTTTCTTTAGGGCCTTCATGCAATGCTCAAGTTTCTTTAATTTTAATCGAGTCTCTTTATCAACCTCGATACTGGATACATCAGCAATTTCTTTTACAAATGTAAAAACTTCATTAAAAGCTATAGTTGCCTTTTCAGGTGAAGCATTCTCCGATTTGTTAAGACACTTCAGAAGCAACTTCTTAAATTCAGAATTTTTGTTTAAAACATCATCACACTTTTTATAGAATCTTCTTAATATAGGAAATTTTTCATCTGCTAGCTTTATGAACTTTGAACCCTCCATTCTCTTTCCACATATTGTAAGAAATTGATCTAATAATGGTTTTGTTGTGTCTGAATGAGACTGTGTACTTTGAGTTTGATTTGCTTTACTCTCATCTGTCATCCTACCGTCTTCGACCTCGTTTGGACTTGTTTCAATAGATTGTTTTGAATTTGAATCTTCATTTTTCCCTTCATTTTCCAATTGTGAATGGTTTTCCTTGCCTGATGATGACTCCTCTTCTGAATCACTCTCTGTGATTTCACATATCTCATCTACTTTATCAACTACCTTTATATTTCCATTGGTAGATATTTTCTCTGTTGATTTACTGTCTAATGTTGCATTTTTCCTAATAATCGTCACCTCATTTAATGTGTTTGTAATTACATCCCCAAGTCTCTCATTGGTATTTGTCTGGTCAACACCATTTTTGTCTTTGTTAGAGGGTTCACTACCTTTTGTAATTGCAACATCATTACTATCATCGTCTGAAAGTACAACAATATCATCTTTGGATTTACTTTTGACATATTTTTCTTTCTTGATGGGCGTAATCGTTATAGCTCCCAGGTATGTTGGCTTGATTTTCTGAAAAGGCAAATTTTTTTCAAAATATTTATAATTTATGTTCATCGCGTGTGTATCAATCATGCAGCAGTAGACAATAGAATACCTTTCTTGGCGGCGATTTGGGCAATTCTTCGTCTGATGACAAGGAAATTATTTCACTATCGCACATTATAAAATGTTTTCGCCTTTAAACCGCCAAAACCTGCAATGTTTTTATTTTTTATAAACGTGAGGAAATGACGCTGACGTTGTGCTTACGGCTGTCTCTGAACGTCGAAAACAGAGATGCCAGATGCCAGTGACGCGCACACGACCCGCACCCCACACCCCCTACATTGCCCTTTGCCCTACTGTCAATACAAGACCGTAAATAGGGATGGGCGGTTATCGATAAAAAATATTATATGTTAACCGGTTATCATAAATCATTACTTTAACCGGCAGCGGTAAAACCGGCCCCACACGATGTGGCAAATGCCTTACAACGTTGGACATGGCCATTCGCCACAACATGTGGGAGAGCGCTGACGGATTACATGTGTCCAACGTTCACCGCATGGCACGTTCGGGCTCTTGTCGGTAAATTTGACCAGCATCAAAGGACGTTACAACGTTGGAAGCATGTTTCGTTACGCTCCCACACGAGATGTCATGTGTTTGATGGTTTTTGGTTAGAGCCAGTAGCGGCGAAAAACATTATTTACCTGTTTGCTGTGATTGTGGTTAAGTAGGGGTATGTGGGAAGTATTTTGATTTGAATACTTACCTATTCATAATAATGTATGTTCCGTAACTAATTTTTGAGGATAATGAATTAAATTAGTATACATACAAAGCATAGGCTGCCATAACAAAACTTTTTTCATATTGCTAATATTTTGTACGTTTCGCAGGTGAGTTATGACTGGCCTAAGTATATATATAGTCTTTTAAGTTTTGCATATGGAAATAAAACAACACGGTAGGTAGTTTTAAATGACTTTATTGTTTTTCGAAGTATTCTCCACGAAGATTAATACACATCTGGATGCGCTCGAACCAATTTTCGAAGCACTTATTCCACCCGTTTGCTGGCAGATCCAAAACGGCATTTTTGCGAATGCGTCAACTGCTTCTTCTGGTGACTGGAACCTTTGACCACACAGTCTGTTTTTAATTTTCGGGAAAGTGAAGAAATCGTTAGGACTTAGATCGGGACTATATGGAGGATGGTCCAATAATTCCACGTTTTCTTCCGTTAAATACTGCCTTGTTTTTTAGGCTGTGTGGAGCTTGCATTGTCTTGGTGGAGGTGATTCTTCTTTCGAGGTTGATTTATCGAAGCTCGATGATGACTTTTGCCAAACAAATGGTGGTATTCCAATCCGCAGTAACAGTTCTTTGCTCCTTAAGAGTAATTGTTGCAATATGACCCGCTTTTGACACAAATGTCGCGACCATATTTTTCGAGAAAGGATGACTTTTGTTGGCTTTTCTTCACCTTGGAACACCCAAACAGCCGACTGTCGTTTATTTTCTAGTTCATAACAGTAAATCCGCGATTCATCGCCACTAACAATGCTGTACACATTTTTTGAGTTTCCGGAATTGAAACGGTCAAGCGTTTTTTGACACCAATTAACCTTGGCTGCTTTCTGCTCTTCAGTCAACAGGTGGGGTATCCAACGAGAAAGTAATTTTCTTACTCCTAATTCTTCATGTAAAATTTTTTGTATTGAGGTCTTCGAGATCTTCAAGGACGCCTCAATCTCGCGATATGTCACATGTCTATCTTCAATGATGAGTTTGCACACAGCATCGACGTTTTCCTGGGTGACTGGCTGACTGCCCTTTTTGGTGCACCCACTCTGGGATCGTCGCTAAGACTCGCCCGTCGACGTTTGAATTCTCCATATCAACGGAAAATTGTCGACTGATGTGGCGCTTCGTTGCCGATAACAGACAGTAACTCAGCAAGGCATTCTTGTTGCGAAAGTTGTAATAATTTATGGCGCGAAAATGTTCTCCATTTTTCTAATGACTTGGTGACACTTAAAAATTCACTGTGGTGAAACTTTGAATTTAAGTTTACTAAAGAGTGAGGTTAAGATTCAGTACTGACGTTCGATAAGCGCGGTCTACATGTTTCTATGTGCAAAACTTGAAAGACATCCCTCGTATGTGATTTTGTAAATTATAAATTATCAAACGGTCAAACTTCATTTTTCGACATTTCTGAGGCTTATGACAGACTTAAGTTTAGGTCGCTGACGACAGGTTCACCGATAATAGACGCTCGCACCACCATGCGTCGAACGTCCGAGACTAAAAAGTTCATCCCATCGCGTAGGAGAGATACTTGCCGCATTATCCGTTAGGGAAATGATAAAGCACCGTTAGTTTAAAGAGTAGGGGAGGATTTATTTCAGAAGGTTTTCCTTATTCGGCAGCTGTAGAGCTGGGTAAGCTTAATTAAAATGATTCCAAGTTATTAAGCATATTGGTTAAACTATACCAAATATGAGTTTCAGATCACAGATAAAAGTAAATGCAAGAAATGTACACTGTTCTAAATGAATAGACTTGTACTTTTCGTTATAGATGCAAAGTGGCAGGTTAGTCTTCTGCTAGTATTGTGGTCATTTGCCGTTCTGTGGTTCTATGATTCTATTCCCACTCATTTGTGGTTCCGGTATAGACACAAATATTACCGAAACTTTCAAAATTTTTTAAAAATATAAAAAGATTTTGGAGGTTTAACCTCAGGTCAAAATCGACCTGACTGTCAGCGCCGTCAAATTACTTTAATCAAATCCAAGCGTTTAACCAAAATTTCTGTGTTATTTACCGCGGTTATAATGTGGTTTAAGATGCCACACGAGCTGATGACGTCAGTTACTCGAATCGCTTGAACGTGTTGGTTTTAACCGCGGTTTTGTTGCAAGTCGTTTATTTTAGAAAAGTGGGTATATAATTTCAGATTATTTTTATTATTACTTAATAGTCGGTGCTTGTTCGCCTACAACAGAGATATGGAAAGTTCAAAAAAGAATACTTTCCGAAGATATTGTTCAGGTGTTAAATCACTTGAGGAAATCTCTCTTATTTTTAAACAAGTTTGTTGTTAAAATAAAGGATATGGCGCATATCCAGTGAGTTTATATGGCCATATTTTAATCTTCTTGTGGTATATGGCTATACAGGATACCTTGTTAAGCATAGGACTAGATTTAAGGTGTCCCCAACAACAGTAATGAGTATAACCACAGCCTCCTTTACTGGGTGGTATAACCCAATAAGCTACTCTATTTTATGTTAAAACTGGAGTCAGCCTGTATCAAGTTTACGAAAAATAAAGCTGAGGTACAACAAAAATATCCAATACCCGCCAAAATTATAACTTGCCACATTTCAAATAATAACCAGAAATATGAAACTACGCCAAAGTTGGGTTAATACCACAATTTTACGGTAATAACAATGACATATAACGGGTGGCATTTTAACACTATGGTATAGGGTTCGGCACCAGCCTTAATTTTATTGGTCAATTTCAATTTATTCAACCAATGACAAGCCGGGTGCCGAAATCACTACCGGAATGTTAAACAGTGCTGAAAACAGTGTCAGAATGTTATCAATTTAAATTGCTTCTACTAATATACAGGGTGACTTTGAAGTTGAGTCATTAATTTTCAGATAATGATTGTAGAAGGAAGATAAACCAAAATATGTGTGTAAAAATAAAAAAAAAAATAAAAAAAAATTTTTACCTTGTTTTATAAAGTATCCTCCCGACAAGTATTTCAGTGCGGACCTGTATTTGATCGTGAGGTCCCCTGTGAGGTCTTAAGTCACCTGATTCACAAGCCCGTTGTACTACATTAACAAAGGCACGAGGGGTTGGTTGCACTCGATTGGGAAACCGATCCGCATAAACATGTGCCATTTTTTATTTCGTTTGAGCCACGCAACACATACCACTATTCACTGACACTAACTGTATACAAATGAATGAGATACCTGTAAAAACATCGTTCCAAATTCTTTCGCTTTTTTGTTTCCGATGCGATGAACCGATACGGCGGATTATATCCATTGTCGCCAAACACGACCACATAATATTGTTATTGAGACAGGGCGGTACTCAAACTTCCAAAGGGCTATAACTTTGTTACTTTAATTTTACCAGGAAAATGGTAAAGGAAAAAAACATTTCTTTTGATCAGATCTACTCACTGTTAAAATAAATGACTCAACTTCGAAGTCACCCTGTATAGAGTGCTGAAATCACTACTCGAATGTTGAGGATTACCGAAATACAGTTCGGAATTTCGAAGGTCGCCGATGCGTAAGGAAGTTCTTTATCGTTTACGCAGTTTACGTTAGATATTATATCCTCAAAGTTCAAGCGTCATCGTTTTTAATACGTTTCGAGTTGAGCAGAACAATGGAAGGTTGCGTTAAAATAAAAAACAATATATACAGGGGAAAGTTTACAGACGGAGAAGGCACTATGCAGTGGCTGAGAGATTATGAGGTAGAAACTTGGCGATTCAAATGTGGTCTCGCAAATCCGCGTCGCCTTGTATATAGGTAAGTGTATTGTTATTGTAAAGGATTATTTATTTAATTCTAATCACGACCGTAGCTTTTTTATTTTTGGAGCTAGACTTTTTTGAATGTTTTCGAGCTAGATTGTTCTTGTTTGGGTTAGAACTGATTTTCAGAATACCTACTTCGAAAATTCAAGGCGCACGAAGGGCATAATCTTGTTTAAACGAATGCAAAATATATTTTTAACCGACTTCCCAAAAGATGGAGGTTTTCAATTCGTCAGCTATATTCTTTTCTATGTGTGTTTACCGATTTTTTCAAGATGGCTTATCAGATTATGATAATTATTTTTTTAAATGAAAGAGTATAAATGCCTCTGGGGTAGTCCCATATTAATTTGATGAAAAAATATTGACTTCAAAAGAGGAAATCAGTTGACGAAATTATTTTTAAGGCAAATCTGGAGTATTTGTGTGTTAATTTAGTTTTTGGTCGGGGAGGTTGAGTTCATGAGTGACCCGAAATAAGTAGGGATTACAAGGGGTTGCAAAAGGTTACCGATTGGTCGGCCACCAAAGGAAGAAGGCGCACCAAGAAAAAGAAAAAGAAGCACTCAATGTAAAGCAAAATTTTCCGAATGCTAAGTCTCATGGAACAGCTCACTAAAACCTATTACATTATTTTTTTGTTAATTTTCGAATTTTCTTTTTTATTTTTGAATATTCTTGTTTTTTGAATTTTCTTGTTTATTTTTGAACGGACCAATAAACATTCACATTTAATATGTTTATTTTCTACTACCTTTTCACGAAAAGTGATAATTTCTTCCCTGAAGTGATAAATGCTGTACTTGAATGAGAAAATACACTCTGTGTATAGATATTAGAATTTAGCTTCTTACATTACATGGGAGGAAAATACCACTTTTCCACCCGCGGATTATTTATACAAAAATCCAAAAAAAGTATATGATTTTTTAGATTTTTACATTTCTTTGCATTCTTTTTAAATTCAGTTATTTTTTATAATATATAATTTTAAATTTTTCATGAGTGTTCTTATTGCTAAACCAAATTATTAATTTTAAAATCATTAAATATCGTAATAGGAAACAACGTGCGTTGATTATTATCTTACGTATTTTTAGCGGAAGGTAAGTAAATTTAAATTTAAATTGATATCATTCTGACCCCATGCTCAGCACTGTTTTTTAACATTACGGTAGTGATTTCGGCACCCGGCTTGTTATTGGTTGAGTAAATTGAAATTGACCAATAAAATTAAGGCTGGTGCCGAATCCTATACCACAGTGTTAAAATGCTAACGGGTGCTTGATGACGTCACGGACCTTATAACCAAACTAATAATCACACTCGCTTGAACTGATCGGTAAATACCAATCCAAAATGGTAAATACCAATTTCACTTGGTTATTTGCTTGAATTTTATTTCTGGTTTACTTCAGTGCTCACATTTTTTCGTTAACATATTTAAAGACGTTGTCAAAAATAACTGACGAAAGGATTAACGATTCCGTATTTTTTGCACTAAAAACTCTACTATAAATAGTAATGTCATTCGCTAGTTTTCTGGCTCGCTATTCAGACGCAGACCTAGCTCAGAAATGGTAAAGATATAATTTGATTATAAAGTTAATATGACAAATATTTTTTGTACGAAATCAATTTTGAATTTCAATAGTTTTTTTTTATGAAATCAATGTTGAATTTCAATAGAGCTCTCGTTACTCACATTACAAAATTGCAAGTGATACAAAACAAGATTCTACGAACAATACTGCATGCTCCTTGGTATGTATCTAACGCGACCATTCATCATGACCTGGATATTCCTTTCTTGTCTCAATTCATTAAACAAATTGCAAGCAAAAGTTACGAACATGCAACTTCACATTCTAATTCTTTATTAAGAGATGCAGTGACATACGATCCTGCATCCATTCACAAACACGAAAGACCTAGATTAGCACTTCTTTACATTGACTACTTTTTTCGTATAATTTTCATAACTGTATAATCTATCTTTGGCATGTTTTGTTAAAGAGATTCGCTTTTCTGCCAGTTAGAACCTCAGTAATTTTTGGGCACAAGGCCCCCGGCCTACCCTCATGAGCAGAAGAAGTCGAGTCAGAGCTCTCGTTTTGAGGATTTTTCGTCAATTGTTATGATATTTTTATAAGAGAGGTGAGCAAATTGAAATGACATATTTTCGGTATCAAAAGATGGTATTTCCTGATCGTGCCCTATAAATAGCCTTTGAACACGAAGCGTTGTATGATCGCTGCTCATCTCTAGTTATTCTCAAGGCGTAGAACAGCAAATTATGGTAATATGGTATAGCCTAGGGATTTTTGATACTGGTGATTGGCGTGCTTGATTTTTGCTTTTCACTCCAACTTGACAGGTCACAGCGGACCGGTTTTGACAGACAAAAACTATTAACATTGGTGGCTGTATTTTTTGTGTTTTTGTGGATACTAAATAATTTTAAATTGTCTTCAAGTGAAATAACTTGTTCTGCTAATTTTTTAAAACTAGCAAGTATTCATGAACAGGTGAGCGAATACGCTCATTCTTTGTTTCAGCAGCTTCATTGAAAATATTTGCAGGATAGCATGGATATGAAAAGTGAATTGGATTTAAGTGGCAAATTAATTATTAAAGTTCAGCTAGGTGATGATATTAGACGAATTCCTATTCACAACGAATCTATCACTTACGATGAACTGGTTTTGATGATGCAAAGAGTTTTCAGGGGAAAACTCGCATCAAATGATGATATTGTAATAAAATACAAAGATGAGGGTATGTTGAAGCCATTTATATGATTTCACTGATAAAAATAGACCCCATCTATGGAATGGTTTTGTAATTAGTTACTTTGATTTTCCAGATGGAGACTTGATAACTATATTTGAAAGTAATGATTTAGCTTTTGCTATCCAGTGTAGTCGGATATTGAAGTTGCAAATATTTCTGAATTCTGATATCAATAAGAGTGATTCTAGTGCTCTTAAGTCCAACGAAGTGTCTAAAATTAAAAATCAACTCAGGAATATCCGTGATCAAGTCAACAAGTTATTAGATTCAATAGATACTGCTGAGCATAAACCTAGGAATGTGAGTCATCAAGGTAAAGTTTTGACTGAATCCACATGATTACTGTTGTATTTTTTTAATATTCTATATTTTAGATCAAGGGGATGCAGCAAGTGTAGACAACAGTCAGGCAAGTACATCATTAAATAAAGTGAATTCCAGCGAATTTGATCCTTTACAGGAAAAGAATCAAAAAAATGGAACTGAAGATGGAAAGGACCCCTCAAAGCCTCCTACTCCACAAGTTAATAGGTGAGTGTACTAGCAAATTATTAATCTTATTTTACATAATATGTTGATCATAAATCTTATAAAGCCTCAAAATGCGGTTTTATACAATGATGAACAAAGTACCTTTGATTTAGTTAAGGCATTCTGATTAATGCTTCATATTAACAATTATATTTTTGTTATTTTAAGAACCAACCAAAAGCCTCGCCTTGCACCATGGTGGTTGTTATTGATTTACCTTTTGCTTAGGTTTGTTTTTTCCAAGTTGAAAATCTTGTGTTGAATTCCAAAAATAGAGTTTTCAGAAATTTGTTTTCATTTATATAATTGGAGTAATTTGAGAACCAACTTGTAGAAATAGCCAGGATGGGGGCTGATTTAACCATTCAGTGATTCTATTATAAATGTATAAGTAAACCTGTTTTATTCAGATCTCTCTTGCTTTATGAATGTCCATATGGAGATTTTTCAATTTCAAGTTTAAAACATCTATGAAGTTTTTGCATTTGACTATTTTGAAGCGCATGTATCTTTTCATCAAAAATTTTTTTTCCTAGCGCTTATTCTTCAAAAACCCTATGTTCATAATCTTATCATTTTTATTCAAAAATTTACCCACCATTGATGGAGCTCATCATCTAGGAAACTAACATTTTCTAAGTACATCTATGAATATTGAGGAGACAGTAGCCTGTCTAACTATTTGTAGACAATGCCATTCTAACTTTATTAAGAATCATCAGCACAGTATAAACCCTTTTCCACGAGTAGCCATCACATTTTGATGTCTACTGAGGTGAACGACTGATAAGCAGATGTCATCTTTGTATTAGTCTGTAACATTGGCAATAATGAATCAGGTGTAAATCTAGTAAAACTTGCTTATAGCATTTTATGTTTTGTATGCAAAATGAACTTTACTAAATAAAACAGTTGATAGCAAGTACGAACTGAATCTTTAGCATACAAAAAACTAAAACAAAATATGTCTCTGTGTACCTGGCGATAACAGATCCGTCATAATTCAGTCATTTGTCCATATGGGGCATTTTGAAATATCACTAGGTATTCAGCTGTATTCTAATGGCTGCTCGTGAAAAATATACTCAGTGACATTTCAAGTGTTACACCCAGAAAAAAAATTCTTTAACTTGATTTTTTGGCAATGAGGTAAGTCTTACATCAAGAATGAAATAAGAAATAAAATTAATAATGTTTTGGGCGACCCCGCAGCTGAATACACTAATGTATACGACTGGGCATCGACAAAAGAGATGATGGATGTCCAGTTGTGGCACCTCATTCCAAGCAGCTCGAACTTCGTGGCTTAGCTGTGACAGAGTTTGTGGCGAGTGGTGCAAAGTGGATAGTCTCCTTCCCATCATATCCCACACATGTTCGATGGGATTTAAATTCGGTGAACGGCGTGGCCACGACAAAACATCAACGCCTGCTTCTTCAAGAACGTCCGTAGTATGACGAGCAATACGGGGACGTGCGGTGTCCTGCTTAAAAAGGACGTGTGTACGGCCCTCTAGATACGGCAGTAAAGTGGTTTGTAGGACATCATCAACATAACGCGCAGCAGTCATATTGCCTGCATTCCTGTGTACATGCCTTTCAACAGTAAATCCAATATCACGTCGTTCTCCACGGCGGCGTCTTAGCCTTCTACGACTATCGTGCGTACCTAGACAGAATCGCGATTCGTCGCTGAAGATGACATTCTGCCTCCCAATGTTGCCGGTCTCTGCTCCAGTTTAAACGTTGACGACAGTGGTCCACTGAGAGGAAACACTAACCGTGGACGGTATGAAAAAAGTTCAAAGGCTCGAATGCGGCGATAGAGTGTACGCATAGTAACAGGTTACCTTCTTCTCCAAACCATTGGTCAGCTATCTGACGCATAGTAGTAAAACGATCTCGTAGGGCTAGTTGTCTGAAGCACCTATCTTGACGCTATGTGGTACGCCTCGGTAGACCAGTGGGCCTTCTTCATGTTCCTCTACCTTCTATCCACACACGCATTACCGTCAATGCAGTCAACCCCTGTCAAAGTCGCTAACATGGTGATAATTTGGACGTCTTCGAACTCGAGGTATTTTGTTATGCTTAACACTAGTAAATAAAAGGGCAATAACTAAAAATATCTGTACTACTGAGCTCTCAGAACCTGCTTTCTTCACAAAAACTAAGAGAACAGTTTAAAAAAGGTAAACAAAAACAAAGATAAAACAGCATGCTTTAAATATACGAGTAGTTATTATTATGTTGCCAAAAAAACAAGTTGAAGAAATTATTTTTTCTGGCTGTAACACTTCTAATGTCACTGAGTATGCTATAGCTGTGACAAATTCTCATAGAGGATAATTTTTCGGACATTCGAATATGGGATTAGGTTAACTATCTTTAATCTCTGACTATGCTGATTATATAGTTGATCTGATTGTGGATTCATTTGCTAGTACTTCAATGGGAAGAAATCTGGAAAGCTAGAAGTAGATGGCGCGAGTTAGGTTGGAGGTCATGTCTGAAAATATAAACAGACAAAGACGACAATTGCTGATCAGCTGTTTACGTGAATGAAACATTTACTTTTGATACCAACCACGCAGTCGCCGCCTAGGGGAAGCAAAATTGGATATTGCTGCGATTGTCAACATTTTTGCTCATCCATTGAGATGTTTCCTTAAGTTTTTATTTTATAGAGAAAAACAGAAAAGATCGATTTATCCCAACCAGCTGTTATTCAGGGTGTTATTTAAGTATGTGGCCAAACTGCAGGAGGTGATTCTTTGAGTAATTTTAAGATGAAAAGTTTATATAAACATAGGTCTAGAAATTATTCATTTTCAAGATACAGGGTGTCAAACTTATTTTCAAAAATCGGTTTTTCCTAAATTTCTCAATAAACTTTTAGTCAATTTTGTTCAAATTTGACAGTTGTATTAAGGGCATTAAGGGGCTAATTTAGCATCAATCAGATTGAAATTATTAATTCCAGTGGGATCCCGAAAAACACCCTAACCAATATCTTTGACAAAAAATTTGTGCGCCACTGACTTTTTTCAATTCATTTATTTTTTCGAATGAATGAATGAATGAATATTGAAATTAGAGGCATTCCGGCCATCATAACGAGCCAGTGCATAGGCCGCTTAAGCGGGCCCTTATGCACCTCTACAATCCTTAGATCACAAGCCTCGCCCTTTTAGGGAAGTTGAGAATCGCCTTGAGTCCAAGCTCCTTGACATCCTGAGGGTCCAAAGTAATGACCCCCAGTATAATCTGCGTATAGTAGCTCAGAGCTTCACAGCGACACGAAACGTGCGCCGAGATCTGTTCCTCTACCCCGCAGCGTTCACACAAGGGATCCTCAGCCACTCCCATCACGTGAAGGTGACGCCTTAACGTGTTATGGCCAGAGAACAGTCCCACCAGCAACCTTAGGTTGGCTCTATCCAGAGATATGCAGAAGCGGCCATCCTTAGCACTGGGCCCTTCAATGAGTTCCCGTGCCTGGCGGAGATGTCTGGAGATACTTCTCCATTTCTGAAAGTGTTGTCTTGCAACCCACGTCTCCATTTTCTCCTAGCTTTATGCGCGGTCACTGCTAGAGCTGGCTCAGGATCAACGAGCTTGCTGGCTGATCCTGTCTTCGCCAGAGTGTCCGCCGTCTCATTGCCCCTTATCCCAGCGTGCTCCGGTACCCATATTAACGATACCGGTTGCCTCGCTGCGAGGCAATCCAGAGCCTACCTGCATTGCAATACAAGACTCGAAGTAATCTTACAGGCACTTAGTGCTTTCATTGCAGCCTGGGCTGTCGGATAAGATTGTTATTCTTCTCCTAGGCCTGCCCGAGAGGCAGAGATGGCCTAGTTCTAGGCCCAGAGACCCCAGCACCTGAGCCCTCTTCGGTGATCGAGCCGTCCGTGTACCAGACCTGCCCGCTTACTCCGGAGAGTCCCCGGCTACCGGCGTCCCACTCCTCCCACAATAAACTTGCGCTTGAAGCGATATTTAGGGGTAATACGATCACCCCTGCTTAGAAGGCCGGGGTCCGCCCTTTGCAATTCGACTAAGATGGCAGTATGCCCCTTGACAGGATTCAAGAAAGCCCAGCTGCCCTGACTCCACAGTCGATGAGCGACTACTCTCGCTTCACCGCGGATCACCAGATCCAACGGTGGGAGATCAAACAGAGCTTCCATTGCACTCAATGGCGTTGTTCGCACTGCGCTTGTAATACTAATACAGGCCAAACGCTGAATTTTATGGAGTTTGGCCGTAGTTGTCTCAGTTCTAAGGCAAGGCCACCAGACCAGGGAGCCGTACAAGAGAGATCGACGTACTATCGTCGTGTAGAGCCAGTATACCACCTTGGGTTTAAGCCCCCACCTTACACCGACAACACGTCTACAGGCCCACATCGAATTGCGAGCCTTGCTAACCTTGTATTCAACATGTTCTCTCCAGTTCAGTTTGCAATCCAGGATAATTCCCAGATATTTCACTGACTGGGACAAAATTAATCTAGTCCCAAAGAAGGTGGGCATGACCAGCCCGTCATGCCTTCTTCTCCTAGTGAATAGGATCAGCTCGGTCTTTTCAGCATTAACAGACAAATCGACTTCCCTACACCACGATTCCACAGAGCGCAGAGCGCCCTGCATAATTTCCGAAACTGTTCTACAAAAACGCCCCCTAACTGCTATGCTTACGTCATCAGCATAGGCTTGCACGTAGACACCCATACTGCTGAGCCTAACGAGGAGTTCGTTCACCACGATACACCACAGTAGGGGTGACAGAACTCCGCCCTGAGGGCAGCCTCTAGCTACGCTCACGCTTCAGCTTACGTCATTCAGCATAGCTGTTGCTACCCGACCCTCCAGAGTAGATAGGACCCAATCTATTAGGATTGTTCCAACCCCATGTCTAACCAAGGCATGTCTGATAGAGTCGGTTGTGGTGCAATTAAATGCACCTTCAATGTCCAGAAAGGCCACGAGTGCTAC